CGCCGCTGCTTCCTCGAAGCGCTACCTTCGTCGCTCCCCTCCTCCGACTACTTGAAGCCGCGCTTTGAAAGGTAATTAATTAGGTTTTTGTGAGCCGCTTGCCGAGAGAATGCGGGCTGCCATGTGAGAACACAGAGGGTACGTAATTGAAACCATCCCTTCCCCTACTCATGCGATTGTCTCCTTTTGTTCTACCAGACATGACTGACATTCGGGCCAATTGCGCTTTTGTTTCGAAAGGTTTTGTGATCTCCGAAAATTAATTGCGATGTTTAAATAAAAGAAATGTTTTTAAATACGTTGTGGGCATTGTTTTGTGGTTATTCCGAGTAGTTCCTAACTTAATGACTCCGCCGAGTTGATGTTTTTGCGAGTGAATTGCGCAATTGAGTTTCATCACTTTATTAACATCTCATTGAATTGCGAAGCGTTGCGATACGTGCCTTGCCTTTCGCGCGTAGGACTGGTTCTGGAGGGGTAATCACAAGGAATAGACTTCGTGACTTTCCTCGACTGCTGAATTTTATGGCTCTTCGCGTAGTGAAAAATGAATTCGAAACTTAATTCCTCTTAATTAGTGAAGTCGGGTCCGTTGTGTGGAAAGTATACTCTATTTGTGATTCTGGTCAGCTCTTCACAGACTAAAAAAAAACAAATCGAAAAGCAACGATGTGTTAACGTGCGCAGATGCTTAAATTTCATCAAATTCTTCATGTATATTTGGGGCTTTAGGGTCGGAATAATCCGACTTTTGCTAGCCAGCGGTGTTACCAGGCTGGGTTCTGTCTGTATTTATTATCCATGTATTTATTATGTGAAGATGCAAATTCATTCTTGATGACAATCTTAATCAGTTCTGCAACTAGCTGGATGCAGGGCATCAGGAGCCTTAAAATGTCTGGAGCATCGTGGGGGCACTCCCAGCCCTCACCATTCACCCCTCTCCCCATTCCGTTCTGTTGGTGGCCCTGGGCACCCTCTTCTAGTCTTCCTACAACAGAGCTTGGAGTATTGCGCCAGGCCCCGATGCCATCTTGTGTGCCTGCGGTTAACCCGGGAAGTGGTCTTAGGCCCACTGTGCTCCGCAGGCCTGCCTTAAAACGAAGGTTGGTGGGCCCAATACTAAGCGTGAGAGTTGTTTGCGCGCTTGCAGGTTATTGGTGGTTTACCATTGCCGTTCGTAAGATAGATGGGATTATGGTTCAGATGGGAAACGTGATGGTATGAGAATCTACCGCACTATAATCGCATGGGGATAACATTCGTGCATTACCAACGAATTCACAGCGTTGAGGTCAGCGTTTTTAGTTACTGCTTTAAACCCTGTGCCACCAAGGCAGACCTTTTTCTGTTATCTTTGATTAATTCGCCGAGATGTCATATTTTAAAGGTCATGTCAAATTCATGTGAGTCATATTCAAAACCAATGTATTTATCAAATTTTTATGGGCAATGTACAGATTTAGTAAAAAATATTTTTTCTTATTCCTAAACTTTATGTCTTATGAAGGCTTACAAAAATCTTGGAAACATTAAAATACATTTTTTTAAATATAGAAGTTTAATTGCAATATTTTATCAGCCTGCACGGAGGAAGGAGGACTTCAGGACTAAATGCTCTGATGAAGTTGCCGAACGTTGACGGTCTAATTTACCCTGTTTCATTTTGACGTCGTGCCACCGAAATTGAGTTTCCCGCTGTGTGTGTAACAGCTCATGATCCGGTCGCTGACCGCAAACACGCCGCTCTCGCCCACTTATTGCGACTCGCTGGCTTCTTTCGACTTATGTGTGAACTTTACGAGCGGCGTCGACTTAACGAGGTAATCTGCTGCGTGATAAGGCTGCCCCGGCCTCGAACCCGTAACTCAGAAGCCGCTTCATCTAACGAGCCGTTCCCTGTGTGAGCGGGCTGCGCGGCTCCCATCCCTATTCCACCGCAGTCTTTGACGACTCGCCAATCCCCATTGTCATTACCTTCTTTATGAAGTCGTGTGTTGCGTTTTACGACTTCTAATTTCGACGTTGTTTCTTTTTCCCTCGCCCAAGAAATTGAAGCAAGGGAATTTATTGAGATTATTCTGTAAATAGGAATGACTTGATCGGAAAACGCCCAACTTATACTAAATAGGAGCCTACATAAAGTACAACATACTCAGAACATGAATGTTCTCTCTTTCTGGGATGACGTATGCGAAAATAACATTGTTATAAATGTGTTAAAAATGTATTAAAATTTTTTTTACTGTTTTCATTTCTTCTGTATATATACCAAGGAAAGAAAAGGGAAGCGAAAATTGGTCTTTGCTTGCTGACAATGTGCTTGTGTGCTTTTAGGGAGAATTCTGCTCTAGGAATCGGAATTGATAAAATATTTACCGAGGAGAAATCTTTGTTATATTGCCAGAAGGTTAATTCTACACAGTTCAAATCAAGAATCACATATTTATGAACATATTCATTAATATTTTCTTGCGTGTTATTACGGAAAACTTTGAACTTTTATTTATCATGCACTGACATAGAAGTAAAGAGTTTTGACACACTGCAGTAATTTGTGGAAACGATTATCTAATAAATTGTTTTATTGGTATGTTTTAGCCTTATAACGTTTCTCATTTTCAAATAAGTCATTATTCATTTTTATTTGCATTGTTAGCCATTCGTTTTATACTGTTTCCGTACTGACGACTTCATATGTTTCACACATACTAGCAGGAAAATGCTTCATTATCTTGTAAGTTTTGAATTGCAGTGTGTTACCGAAATTGTTTACGATTCATATACAATTCGTTGCTATTTTGAAGTATTGAATTGGTTTATGGTATCAGAGTGTAGTCTCAAAACCAAGCAATGTTTATTCTGAGGGATATGACTGCATTTCATTAATATATGGTAGAAATCAGTTGAGATATTTTCCGAGAGATATATTTCAATAATCTCTAATTCATATTAATGACGTAATACCAATATCTAGGACAACTATTCAGAGCAGTGATGTATTACATTAATCGTCGCTTTAATTACGAGTCCTGAAAGATTTATTCCGGTCGTTAGAGGAGATATTGCCGGTTATATTTGATCAATTGCTAAGATTTACCTTTTTATTATATTAAACATTATTACAGGTAGCATTTGTTATAATATCTTGATGACAAGTTTGACAAATGTACTGTTATAAAATTAGAGTTCACTTTGCATCAACCACATTGAAAGCGATTTTGAATGAAGCAAAACTATGAAATTCTTTGACCATAACAAAAATGGGTATCAATTTTAATGTTTTTTGATACAGATATTGCACACAACTTATTAGGGTGAGATATATAAATATTTCGAAGCAATTAGTATCAGGAACTAAAAATAAGTTTTTTTTGAAACTAATAATAGTAATAAACTTCGTTGGTTATCAAACTAAGTAAAAGAGACAGGCAGAAAACTGAAGTATTGAAACTCAACTCAATTATATATTTTTTTTCTTATTTCTTTCTTTTTGAAAACAATTGCAATATTTTTCTATGAAATAATTATATATATATGAATTGATTTATCAGGATTTTGTAGACAGACTTTGATGCAAAGTTAAATAAGAACTCATATTAAGACAGTAGTGACCGTCTGGTCGCAATTGGTGAGTTTTATTGCTTGATGCTATTATTCATTTGTAGCAGGCTTTCAGAATGACTTAATTGCTTCTCAGAACACAACTAGCCATGCTCGTTGTTATTGTTCTTCACCTATGACAGAGATGACTAAGGGTCGCGATAAATGTCGTAACGCTAAACAGGAAGGAGGAGATTTGAGGAATCGTTTTGCTTCGGTACATGGGTATAGGGAGTGTTAGGTTCGTGTTAAGGTGCGGAGATATTGTTTTTTGTTGTTGTTTTTTCTACATTTGCTGAAATAATTTCTTTTATTCAGTCTGACATTAAAATATTAACAAATAAAATTCCAAACTGTAAATAAATTTTAAAAAAGTTATGTTTACAATAATTGAATACATATTTTCATTAATGTTATATTGACTGAATCTGAGATTAGGAAGAAAATGTTCGAAACTAATCTATAGTATATTCTAGAAAAAATGAATTGGCGCAGAATATTCTCGCTCATGTGTCCTGCACGACATATGTGCACTAGATAGAAATTTTCTTGCCAATGCTTCCTTCCTTCCCTCCTTCCTTCAGTAAAAATGTTCCCCCAATCTTTTTGTGGGAAAGTTATCACCTCCAATTAATTTTGATTTTAATTATCATTAATTGTAATATATAATTCAATAAAGTATGTCCGGATGGTCTAGATCGTAAAGGCAGTATTGTAGGAGTTTGGGACTGAAAGATCACGGATTCGGATCCCGCCTCAGGCATGGTTGTATTTGTTGGTACGTCCTTTCAGCCCCTATCATCACCATATCATGTCATCTTCACAGTTACCATACCGTCAAATGCAATAGTGGTCGCTGATGCGACCTTAAATAACAACAAAAAATTGAATCATTGTTTTCATTGTTATATAATTTATTTCCACTTTTTTTTAAATAACAGAGGTCCGCAAGCGTAACATAATTATTTATCGCACATGACATATGCGTTATCGGGGGAGAGGAGGTATTATGAAATGACCTGAATTTGCGTCACTTCATTTATGGGCAGCCCCTAAGCACTGGCCGTCGCGTGGGAGCGGGCGCGGCAGGGGCCGCTTCCATCTGGGCGAACGCACGGCCCCCTCCCGACCTCGCTCTCCTTTCGAGTGGCGGCGCCCCCGTCATTTCAGCCACTCGTTGCACCCCCGCCGCGCTTCGTCACGCGCCCGGACAGGCGGCTCTTCCGAGAAGCCCGAGCGGCGCGGCGCGGCGCGGCGAGGCGAGGCGAGGTGCGGCGCCTGGCCCGGCTCCCGCTCGCGTGAACCGTTTACGCGTGGCGTTCGCGCGAACCGATTGCGCGCGCTCCCTACTCGGTGCGGCCGCGCCGCTCCCGGCACGGAGCGTCTACAAAGAGCGGCGCCGCCGCCGCCGCGTTGCATTCAGATGTGCGCGAAATGTGGAGTCGGCACGCGTTTCGGGTGTTTCGCGGATCGTTGTCGCCGGTGGAGGAAGAGGGCGATGTAAGTAGAACGAAAATCCGATAAGGTCGTAAGTGTCAATCTTCTGTGAAATACCGGTTGTTGCGAAGGATTTCCGGTATTTGCGAAGGAAATATGGCGGTAGCGGATATTGTAGTGCTAGTAATTTTGTGACGTACCGTATAAATCACGTTTTTGTGTCTTTCAAGAATGTGTCAAGGTTTTAATTGCTTCTTGTTAACTTTCTGGAGAGAGCAAATTAAGTATAAAACTATCAAAAACTAGTAACGCCAGTGTAATAAACGATCTGATATTTCTTTTGTGATCTCCGAAAAATGTACATTGTTACTTTTTCAGAAGAGGTGCACTTTTCTACGTTTTCAGTATACATTATTTCCCGAATTCTAATTCAATATAAAAAGAGACACGCTGTAAAAGTCACTTTTAAAATTCTATGACATTTCCTCTTTAAAGAGTTACAAATTTATTGCCCGAGCACGTAAAAGAGTGGAATATTGTGAAACTAGTCGCGAGAATAGAATGCCTTTCTTGCCGGTGAACAAAATTTTAATCTCAATTAAATCATGTGTATTTGATGATAAGAGAGCATTAATTCGCTTTGCATTATTGATTCGCATAATGCTATTACGCAGCCAGACGCTGCGAGCGATGAATAATTCAGGCGCCATCCGCTCACCGTATTATGAGTCGATCCCCGCCACGCCACATCGGGGACGGCGGTGAGGATGGCGATGAGGGTAGAGGCGTTAGTGAGGGTAGAGAAAGGATGGTGAGGGTGAATGTGAAGATCGATGAGATTTGTGTCCAGCTTGGATAAAGTGGTGTCGAGACCAAACTGGAAATTGGCGAGAATTCATCATGTGCACGAGGGAAAAATTGCAAAGATATGCATTCTGTTTCAACGAGATTTCCGTGTTTAATTTTATTAAGAACTCGCGATATATTTGTAAGATCGATTTTCAATTAACAAGATTGTTTATTTTTTGTGATAATTACGCTGAGTTCTGAAAACCTAGCCAGACACATATTGATATTCTTTTTTCAGAATTGTGTCTGTTCTCATCATTTACATTTATTATTCATCTCTTTGCGTCTTCCTAAAAGCACTGATTAGAATATGAACTGAGAGTTCCATGCATTTTTCTCGTAGTGAATTCGCAGGTAGAGATTTACACCTAATTATACTCTGAAATAAAATTTGTTCATTGCTATGAGATGTTGCAGGTTGATCGTGCCTGCCCTCTGATTCATGATAATTTTTCAATAGAATTTTCAATATTCAATGATCGAACTTAAGGTTCTGCGAATCGACTATTTATGTTCCTCAGTGCTTCATAATTTCCCAATATTTCTTGTTCCCGTGGGCAAATAAGGTCTGTGCACGTGCATGCATTGATTGGAAAAATAAATTAACCTTACATATTCATGGATTACATGTCTAGAAATTTGGGAGGAAGAATTCCTGGAAAAAAATTTTGGCTGCATCTGATGATCAACTTAGCATATTCCGGGAATGAACGGCGGTTTAGACTTACGGTCATGTAAATAGGCGAGGGGCCCGGCGGACGTGATCCCCCGTGATGGAGCGGCGGAATGTTTACAATTCAATTAGGAGCGTTTAGGCCAATGCATGCGCATACCGAATGCATAAACGCGGCGCGGGTTTCTTTCGCGGCCCGCGCCAACTCGTCGCTACCCATCCGCCCACGCGCCGCGCCGCGCCGCGCCTCATGGCACTGACACCAGGGTTCGTTGGCTGCGAGGGGAACAAGTGCGAAGGTGGATGCAGAAAAAGAGGTGGCACTCGGTGAGCAGTTAACGCCGCCGCCGGGACTTTCAATTCCAAATGCGACTGCGAACTATTTAACTGGTTGAAGTTGATCAGGTTATTAACTGATTGGCAGGATAAGTGGTGGCAGGATTTTTGACACTAGCTAGTCAGATAGGTGGAATTCAGTTACCGACTGCCCACTTACACTTGAGCAATCGGGATATTAGAGCTTGTCCCGCGTGAGGCGGTGCCCCCTCTAGCGGGAGATACCTAGATGGGAAAACCTCATGTGTGCCACATCATGTGATAAAACTTGCAATACACTTACGCGACTAATGACCCTAGAAGTTGACGTGTTCGGAAACACGAATAATATATCAAACGAACGATTGCCAAACAAGAGCTATGAAGTGTGAACGCAGTTAAAACACGGTTGATAGTTCGGTGTGGAGGGGGAAGGCGTTGGCGTGAAATATATTATAATAGCTAGGGTGAGAATAAAATTAGAAGTGGTTGAGAGTTCGGTGAGGAGGGAAACTGACTTCCATCGTACACATACACTCTACCGCGTAATTACATAGGTACCGTGATACGACACACGGTTAACAACTATAACAATATCAACAGCACACGCTACTGGCAGTTCTTGCTCATGCAACGTTCTTTAATGAAATTAATGTCATCATCGACATTTATGACGCTCATCTGATTAAATACAAAATTGGCGGCATGCTTTTCATTTGTTCTGTGTTATGTCACAGAACACAGCATCAATGCCGAGGCTTTCAATTCGCGTTTGCTTAGGATGAGGCACTAACGTTAACATGAACGTGCATGAACGCCAACCACCTAATTGTATTTGCAAAAGAGCTTCTCAGAATACAAGTTTTAAATTGTCGCAATGATCTAGTTGTATTCTGAGTTATTGCAATTCCACAGTGACTGGGGAATTTATACGGTACCATTTCAAGATTAAATTTTGTCATTTCATTAATTTCGTAATGGCTTTTTCGGAGAAGTCGTTGTAGTTGGTTCCCAACAATTTTGTGTTATGCCATGCCAATATTGTCTATGTTTCACTCTAATACAGTTTTTGAGAATGTTAATGTATCAAAAATGTTAAAAGTACACAAAGGCGTAGGGTAATTATAATAGTTGTTAGTGAAATAAAAGAAAGTTGTTCCTCGTTGGGTGAATTTTAATTTCATACATGCTTGAATCCTCTAATTATTCCGAAATGTCAATCATCTTTCAATTATAGATAAGAAAAATAACTGTTGAATGACTAGGACTAATTTATTTAATATTTATCTTAAAATGCATATCTTTCTAGACAAAAATTTCTTTTTTCGTGTTTCTTTGGACATGGTATTTCGTGTTTCTATGGAACATCAGGGAAGGAACCCAACTTGGGTTACAGTGTCGAATGTTGAGTGATCATGGACACCTTTTCTTAAATCTTTCTTAACTCCTAGGAATCAACAAAGTTCATAAAACTTGGCATTTTTACCGGACTTTCGAAATAAAATTCTTTAAAAAAAATTAAGGGAATAAAAATTATGTGCCTCTGTTATAAGGAAGCGAAGTTTAATTTCCAATTATTGATTTGTACATTTACAGTACCTTCAATCACTTGTTAAAATCGTTTACTGCCGCATAAGTGTTACGGCAACTTGTAGGTTTTACTCTTTGCTTTTAAGGCAAGTGATACAAATATCGTCAGGACAGATAATATGGTGAAGTAGCGGCGTTAGCTGAAACTATTTCCGATTGATTGTGCTGGCATGCAGTCTGGAGAGTGTAAGAAGAGCGTTAACACCCTACCAGACTTGTTGATTCGCGCATTCGCACTGTGAAGCTTTTATGGTCAAGAACGTGCTGAAGACGCTCTGTCTTTACGACTTCTTATGCACTTCTTGTCAACTCTAGCGCTGTTATTTTAGAAAAAGGATTTATTTCAGGTCATATTTTTGTAATATTAAACTGTAAGAGTGTAATTTATATTATATATTAATATAGCTAATCCTAGTTCCATGGTCATTCTACTAAATGTGGCATTGGCCATAAAACCTGCATGTGGGCATATTACTTTTCAATTAAAATGTTTATGTAAAATAACTAAAAAATATTCTTGAATCACCTTTTTTGTGATATAGTTATTTCAACTTCAATTAAAAGTGTTAAATTTCATCATGATGCTTTTATTTGGCCAAATGTGGAAATACATAAACAGAAAATTTGAGGCACTTAACGTGGCCATATTACCTTATATACCTTATTTGATAGACCTCTGACCTCTAAGAATTGAAATTCATTGAACTAAAAAGAGCTATTCATTAGTGCAACATAAGTTATGAATTGCTTGAAAAAAATTTACCTCAATAGCTTTTTAATGTTTCATATAGCTGTGAAAATACGTTCATTTATCGAACGTTCCTGGAGTTGAAGAACCAGAAATGGGTATTTTATTCGAGCTACAATTGAGATATAATAAAAAGAACATATTTACGAAACATTTGACTAGAGAAGATCGATATCAGTGCTCTGGTCTTCACACGAAAGTCGCTCATTTCTTTTCTGTAACCAAAGAGCCAGTCCTTAAGTCGAGGGTAGTCCCTATTGAAGTCACCTGCGTCCAACAGGCTTTCGGACCCTTGCACGGAGGCGACGACGACGGTTGCGTCAGCACCGCATGCCAAATTGCCGCCGCGCCACGTCGCGCCACGCCGCGTCACGCCGCGCCACGCCGGGCCATACTGTGCCATGCCCCTCCCTCCCACGCCACGGCACACCACACCTCGCCACGCCACGCCACGCCGCGCCTAGCCCTTCCCCAACGAGCCACGCCCCCCTCCCCACGCCGCGCTCCACCACTTCCCGCGACACCCCGCCATGCCACGCCTTACGACGCCACACTACGCCGCGCCACGCCATGGCACCCCACAACGCGCCACGCCACGCCAAACCGAGCCACGCCCCCAACACCGCGCTCCGCCACTTTCCGCGACGCCCCGCCATGCTACACCTTGCGACGCCACACTACGCCGCGCCGCGCCACACCACGCCGCGACGATGGCGGCGACGGCGGCAGCCGCCCCGCGAGTTATTAGCTGCGCTGAATTGAAATTAAGCGGTCTTTCAGGCGGCGGCGCGCGGCTATGAATAGATGAATGCGCGAGCGGGGCGCGCGTTGTTTCATAAACAAACCGCTCGCTGTCGTGACGCTGCGGGGGCGACGCTCCCCCTTCCCCCCCGCTTCCCCCACGTCTCTCGGGCGTCGACTAGGCGGCCTCAGGTTTGAAACGTGTGGTCGCTGGGGGCGTTTCCCGGCTGTCGCGAGGGGGATTATTGTTGTTCGTGGCTTCTATTTTGTTAAAGTAGGGGAGTAGGCTGGTTGTTATTCGTAAATGCGTTCGTAATGTGTTAACAATGTCGTAGAGAAACAACGGAAATGTGTTAAACGCTTCTGAATGTGTAGTGGAAAGAACATACTAGCGTTGCTTATAGATTTCTCTTCCATGAGGCATTACTAGTCGAATTAATAATTGTGTGTGATACGATAATGAAAACTCTTTCTGTGTGTTCAACCCATTTCGTTTCTGATTTCTAAACTGTTTTTTACTGTGGTCGAACTATAGTGTTATAAATAGTGCAATAAAGTTAAATAACTAAAAGTATGAACATTTCCATTTCATCATTTATAATTCAATTTATTTTCTATATATTATTTTCTATTGGCAATTGTTCTATAGTATAGATTGTATGTTTTACAATCCATACCTTATTTCGCAAACACTTCACAACATTTTCTCCTTTTTCCCAGTACTACTCAGTTGCCAATTCTGCGTCACTTTACTAGCACATTTGACCACTACTCACCGTCTGGAGATTGTATAATGTATTAAGTCTCAACCCTACAAGTTTCCTCTTACTGCAAATTCGTGAGCCGTTCCTCTCCACCGGCTGCAGCGGACCCCCGTAGTGGACGCCGCCCCTGATGTAGTACGCAGGCCCCGCCCCTCGCCTAATGCCGTTTTGCCTGGATATGGGCAACGAGGCGGCGGCGGCCGAGTGACGTGTGGGGCGGCGGAGGGCGGCTGCCCGCTTTAGGCGAGCGCTGCTTCCGGCCGCGGCGGCGCGCGCGCGCCCGATGCCTTCGCTCGCCGAGCGCACGAGCGCACGAGCCTTCTGCGCGAAGGCGCGCGCGCGTCGCTCACGCTGCTTAACGGCCCGCACCTGCACCTGCTGCGCCAAAGCCGCCGCCGCCGCCGCCACCGCGCCGCTTTACATCAGCGTGCGTTTGCTGCGGTGCAATAATGAGGCGATTTCGCAGAAGCAAGAAACGCGCTCTGTAATATACGGCTGCCGCCAATGCGTTCTAGCACATTCTCAGTGCTTTTTGACTCGGTGTTTGAAAAAAGACAGGTTCATGGGCAATAAAAATGGTGTGTATGTGTGTGTGTGTGTGTGTGTGTGTGTGTGTGTGGGGGGGGAGAACGAAGTATATACTGCTTTTGGAAAGCCAACAAAAGTAAGCAAATTCGTTATTGCCATGAGTTGTATTCATGTGCTCCACTTTGCAGTTTTTTTTCTTTACGAACATTTTCTGAATTGTGAAATTAGAAAATATGTATTAATAATTTATGTTATGGAAAATGGCATGTCTTATATGAATGACCTTCCGTAGGACTTAAGATATGACTGTGTGCTATCATCATTCTGCACATGCCTCCTTCGTGACAGAAATGTTGATTTGAAATGCACTTGAATAAAAGTACTTTATTCTATTACTTTATTTCCCCGTGTGGGCAGATATCTTTTGTGTAATCCCATGGTATTGTAAACGAAAGATAGTATTCTCCACGAGAAAGTGGAGAAGGTGGATGAGATAGGGAGGGAAAAGGTAAAGGGAAGGCGGCAGAATGAAGGGAGGGACGGTTTAATAATTTTATTAACAAATTTTCTATAGTTAAACTTTTCGGAAACACTTTCTCCCCAGCCTTAGTGGATCTTCTAGCAAAAATGAAGAACATGAAACAACAATATAAAAAGTTAGACAACAAAAACCCGAGGGGGATATATTTCCTTTACAATACTTTATTCTAGTTCCAGTTTCTTGTGATCAGTCAATGATCTTCCTCAAAAGTACGTTGCAGTAGTGATGACGGATAACCTAATTATTGTTTAGTGTGAGGAAAAATGGGTTCTTTTGTCAACGGTATTGCTTAATTCTTTGCATGTCATTTAAACGCCCTTTTCGTGTTGTGTTGGCAGGAGGAGATCGGAGAGGTTTTCGACCGCTGGAAGACGACCGACTGCCAGTCGCCGACGCCGTCGCCGTCGCCCGAGCCGCAGGAGCCGGCCCGCCTCAGCCGCGCGGGGCCGGCGCCAGCGCGCCCTCGGCCGCCATCCCGCATCCCGTCCCCTGCGCCTCGCGCGCCGCCCTCGCAGCCCTGCCGCAGGCCGGGCGCGCGCTCGCGCACGAGGCAGCCGCGCTGTGCCAATGGCGCGGCCGGGGCTTTCCCCGCCGCCGCCGCCTCCACCACAAACGGCCACGCCCCGTGCCGAGGAGCAGCTCCAGCCGCCCGCGCGGCCGCCCGCGCGCCCTGACGTCAAGCGACTCCAGACTCTGCCGTCGCGCGGCAAGCGCGGCTCGCGCTGCGCCGGACTTACTCGTCGACAGTGGTCCGAGGGCATCCTGCGAAGTTACAGCATCATCGCCGACGAGCTGAGGCGAGCTCGCCCGCCAGCAGGAGGCGCGCAAGGAACAGCAGCAGCAGCCGCGGCTGAGCAACGGGGCACGCGCGGAAGGCGCGACCCTCGCCCTCGGACGGCGACGCCGCGGGCTCGACGCCGTGGCCGAGATGCGGCTCCGCGTGGCGGCGCCTCACCGCTCGTGCGACGACCCGCCGGCCGCCCGGCGCAGACCGGACTCGACGCCGCCGCGTCGCCCGGCCGTCACCCTGCGCGTCGGAGGCGTCGCGGGCAGTGCCTTGCCGCAGCGCGCCCTGGGGCTGGCGCGCGCCTCGGCCAGCGGCCCCGGCCGCGCGGCCAGCTGCCCACCGACCGCGCCGCGCCACGGCGACGCCGTGCTGGTGCGGTCGCCTCGGCTGCCCGACGCCGACTTCCCTGCGCGCGGACCGCGAGCCGGCGGCCGCCCAGGCGGGCAAGCCCCCCCGCCCGCGTCGCCCTCGCCAAGAGCAGCAGACGGGCGGCCGCCCGGCCAAGGCGCCCAAAGGCGACGCGAGGGAGCCCCGCGCCAGCAGCGCTCCCGCTCGATCGAGCACCTTGCTCAGAACGGGCGCGGCGTCGCCGGCCGCTGGCGGCGACGCCAAGGGCGGCGGGGGCGGGGGCGCGGGCGGCACGCTGCGCCGCCTGCTGGACGGGCGCTCGTCCACGCGCGAGCGCTCCCACAAGCGCTCGCAGAAGGTGGACGCGGGCGTGGCCACCGACGACGGCCCCACCTGGCCCGCCCCCGTGCCCGACTCCGGCGACGAGGCCTGCTCGCCCGGACGCATCAGCGTTGTGAGTGCTCAGTTGCTGCTGCTGCTGCTGCTTCTCATATTCTATCTTCTTCATTTTACCTATTGTTCTTCCTCATCATCATCGACCTCTACATCATGTTCGTCTGATGCATTGCCATCTTTGTCTTCTTTTCCTTCTTTTCTTTTGATTTTAGTCAATCTACTTCTTCTTATCCTTCTTCTTTCATTTCTTCTTCTTCCTCTGCTTATTAAGCTTCCACAGCTGTTGGTACTGCTTTTGCTACATTACCTTATTTTAAAATTCATCTTTAAGGAACCGATTTCATTTAGAAAAAATATAATTTCGTAATTGTAGTTAAAGGAAGACACCTAAAAAACTTTGAAATTTCGCAATTTTCTAAAAATCAAGACTTTTTAACGATCATGAGACCTGCACTATTTTCTTAAACGTCATTTACACTATCCAACAACAAAATTGAATCAAAAACGATGGAGCGATTTTGTGGAAAATTTGGAAAGTCTCCCAGGCGTTGCATGTAAAGTACTCTCCAAAATTGAAATATCGGTTTCAAACTTAAGGACCCACAAGACCCACAAGCCATCAGCCAGATCGATTGGGGAATATCCATTTTGCAAAAATCAGCTGTACGGTTTAGCCGATGTAGTTGTTCACAGACGGAGAGACGTTTTGCCTTCATTAGATTTTTCGGTATCAAGAGCCATGGAATCACGCGTTTCGGTATCATGGCCACCAAACATAGATTATGGATACACCACGTGAGGGGATTTTTTTCTTAACTTATCAACTGTATTTATCCACTTTTTTCTCAAAGGGGCCTGTAATAAATAATATGTTTTTCTGCCGAAAATTCGCCGTTTTTTCGCGCAGTATTACATAACTTTGTCTACTTCGTAGGTGAAATCAATAATGGTCAAATCCACATGCAATTACTGCTGCTTTCTTAATGAAATCGTTAGGCTTGCAGTTGTAATTTTCTATATATCTACATTGACCTGTACATCTTTGATAGCCGATTTGTATTCTTTTATACTTGGTGTAGTTAAATTTTCAGATTACATTCACTTTACTTTCCTTCCATATTTTACGTGACAATCATCATTGTTCATTTTGGAATAGTTCAGAGCATTACATATCTACATCAAGAGTTTGAAAAGTTGCCACTAAACACTAGTAACTACTTTTTTCTAAAACAATTTGTTATTGTGAATACAAGTAGTGTAGAATGCTTTATAAATGCGCACAACCTGTTTTCACAATTCACGAGTTCAGCTTTTTCAAGTTGACACTTTAATTCCATTCCACTTCCACCGCATATCTTTCCATTTACTAATCCAATAATGGGAATGATTTGTATCGCTTATTACCCGGGAATCACGAAGAAGCGTTAAAAAGTGTTGTTGAATCGTTGAAAATTTTTGGCGTGCCACAAGGTAGTAAACAGTTTTCTGCCTCGGCGCCGTGAACCAACTTTGTAACATACATTAATGTTGAATTTCACTGTTGAATCTATTGATATGCGTGAAGTTCTGTGTAGTCCTTTCACCTTTCCGCTGCCGCTTTCAAGTCTTGCTCATTGCTATAAATTTGAATATGGCCACTAAATATTTTTTCTTAGTGTAATAGATGTCATGTTTAGTCACGAACATTACGTTGGTGGTCGTTTATCACACGAAACTCGATCGTCCGTCTCTCGTGCGCAGTTATTATTCTCATAGGCGTTGGTTGCTAAATCAGGTGAACGTGTCCTGTGCCGCGTTGAATAGCTTGGATTTGAATGTGATCAATAAAATGCACAATAAGTTGAGTTTAAGCAAATTATTTCGCATTTGAGTATTTTTATTACATGTACTTCATTGCCATTATTGCCAGTATATAACAGTACTTGTATTACTCTCACACAGTGTTACACATTTCAATATCATTCCACAAATGCCATGGAAAACAGATCATCATAATTTCCTTAACACATTTAGGTTAAAATTTTGTACTTGCGTGATTGGTGGAAAATACAAGTTTCATTTATAGAACTACAAATAACAGAACAGTAACTACAGAAGCCTGCGATAATTTCAGTTATCAGAATCACCAGTTTTTGCATGTGTGAACCTCTGCTGATGGGTTTGCACGTGGTCGAGAACGAGGTGTCCAGTAACTTTCGTTTGCGCGAAGATCAAAGGTGCGGTGGCGATTTCGTGGCGCAAATGTGCGATCGGTAGTTCTGCGAGCACATTGCGACGTGATTCATACGAGACGGCGAAAATGGCGGCCACAAGGGAGAGAGAATGAGTTCAAAGGACTTGCGGACATGGTGACCCGATGTTGCTACTAATCAGTTGCGCGAAAAATGAAATTCTGCTTGGAAACTTTAACGAGAGAAACGTTGCTTCTAATTACTCCCCATAGATGCTGTTATTACTCTAACACATATATTGCTTCTCTTTCAATTAATGTTTAATTATTACTTAACAACTCTTCAATTAATTAATTAAACGTCAATGATTAATATCAGATAATATTTATGTAGAAAGAGTGGGGTTGAATTTGGAATTACAACGCTGAAAATATTCGAGTATTTTCTCGTGAATAATTGGGTTTGAATTATGTTACACATACGGCAAGGAAGAATGCTTAGTGAACAATACCCGATAGCTCTAATTTATCTCATTGAGCAATGGCAAATAAATATCGGTTTTTAATCATGTTTCATGTGCGTTAATAGTTTTTCTTATTGCATAAAAAGAACTCAATTTCTTCATGTTAATTTTCTTAGAAAAGGAGTATTCAGTACTCGAGCTGCCCATTCCTAGAATCGCGAATTTAGCAGCGTGTTGTTTCCTGTTCTTCTAATCGTCTAGCCCTACTGTTTATTACATTCAGATTGCGATCAGTTAATCCAAGGTACATGAAAGTATTCTCATCCCCACCTCAAAAGAATACGTATAGCTACATTTTCGTTTTTGATTTTAGCACAAAACTCAATGTTTGAGGCATCTTTCCGTTACATTTCCGTAATAACATAATTTTAGTAATCGAATTCAAAAGTAACTTTCATTATTACCTGAAACGCTCTTAATACAATTCATTTCGTATCTTCCTATTAATTGTTACTTTTTAATTCGAAGATTTTTCGTTAAGCCCGTTCGTTATACTGTTCCAGTTAAATTGATATTTTCTCGGGAGAATTGTTGAAAACGGCACCTCGTTCAAGTTAAGAGTAATAAATTGTTATAAACTGTGATCGATGTTGAAACAACCCATGTGAAAACCATTCGCAAATGAGGTGTTCTGGAAAGGCTTCGTTTTGTTCACACTTGTGTTTCAAGTTCACCCGTAGCGCGTACGTTGTCAGCTGTGCAATTAATGTTGAAGTAATTTATCGCGACGTTCGTTTATTATGCGCGGACGTTCGTCTCGGAATTTAGAGTGGCAGGTTTCTCGCGATTAATTAATGGTCAGTGAATTCATTCAGTTACACGCTTTCATTTGCTTCACTTGCTTCCTCAAAAGTTCTTCACCTTAACATATCATGTATAACTGAATTGTGTAGAAATTTCAACAATTTAAGATATATTTCCTTCGTGAATACTATTCCCTAAAGACATTACTAATGAACTACCTACAAGCATGATATTATGTGATGTTTACCTACTTTGTTATTGAAAATAGAGTGGTTTGGATTTAAGTTTTAGCGCCACTAATTACTGGAATTCGTTTACGTATTTTTTTGTATCTGATTAACACCACCTTCAGATTTTCAGTCAGATTGCATTACTTCAATGTGAAAATTCAGATTTTGCATTACATTGAGAAAAGACAGTGGTATACAATATTTCTTTCCGGTTTCTTTTAGAACTTTGTATCTGCAAAAAGGTGTGTCATTAAGATTTTTTTCTGTTTGAAATTAATTTGCTTTTCAATTCAGCTTATGTAGTTCGCCTAGTGAATTAAATGACAATTATATTCTTCTTTATTTCATAAGAATCTCCTCTAGTATAAGTATAAGTGAGTGTACCATGACATATTAAATCACGAAAATATGTTCTTTCATTGATCACAGGGAGTGACGGTATACGAGCATTTCAACTTGTGTTTCGTACAGATAT